ATTTCGTTTAATTTTTTTTTGTTGGAGTAATTCTTTTGTATTGAATTATTATATATCAACACATATAGTTTTTAATAAATAATATTTATATCATAATAAATGTTATATTATTGGATTATTAATTTATTTTAGTTAATTTTTTTTAATTATTTTTCATTGAATTATTACTTTTAATTTATTATTTTATTCATATACTAAATATATATATTTTTAATATTAATTTATTTTAGTTAATTCTATTTTAAATTTTTTTGGTCGTTGTAATTCTTTTTTATTGAATTATTATAAATCTATACATATAGTTTTTAACATATAATATTTATATCATAATAAATATTATATTATGGGATTATTATATAATACAAAACATTATTTTTTTTGGATTATTAATTTCTTTTAGTTGATTATTTTTATAAATTCTTTTTTGTTGGAGCAATTATTTTTTATTAGATTATTATATATCAATAAATATCATTTTTAATATATAGTATTTATATTATAATAACTAATACATTATTGGATTATTAATTTTTGTAATTTCTTTTTTTTTTTTTGAATTATTAATTTATTGAATTATTACATTTAAATTTATTATTTTTTTAAGATAATAAATATTATCGTATTGGATTTTTCTTTTATTTTTAATGTATACTATTAATTGTTTTTAATTTTATTAGCACTACAAAGTTGCCGAAATACATAAAAGTATCACTTATTTTTATCAAAAATTGGTAGGATCACCTCCAAACACCTACATCGGAGATTCAATAGATACTCTACCCTATTCCACCCAATGTTGCTGGTAGCCACCTGGGACAACCTCTTCATAATCTACTGGAATCCTTCATATCCCACATAACGCACAACAAACTCCTATAACAATTATAAGTGGTGGTGGTGACCGAGTGATGGTGGTGATATTTTCCCTATGATTTCTCATTATAAGCTACATGAAATGAAGGTGTTTGGTAGTGATACTAACGATTTTGATGATGAGAGACGACGATTTTGCGTATCCCACGATTTTGTGATGGAACCAATAAAATTAACAAGAAGTATTATTATAAATTAAAAATAAATTAATAATCCAATAAAATAATATTTAGTATATGAAGAAAATAATAAATTAAAAGTAATAATCCAATAAAAATAGTTAAAAAAATTACAAAATTAACTGCAATAAATTAATAATCCAATAATCTAATATTTATTATGATATAAATATTATATATTAAAAACTATATGTATTAATTTATAATCCTAATTCTAATAAATTGTAACAACGTAAATTTTCAAATAAATTTTTCATTTAAAATAAAGTGAATTATTTCAACCAAATATAATTATTCCAAATCTCATATCAAAATACAATCATAAAATCCCCAAGATCTCAAAACATCATCAGTGTGTACGCGTCATGCCGGCGCCTTCCCACGGTCCTCGCTAGTACCTGAAACACATACATGACAACTGTAAGCATAAATGCTTAGTGAGTTCCCCAGTATACTACTTACGCATATACGCCTTTCCAGGCCTTGAGATAATCGCCTTCCGGCCCATAACATATTGCCTTCCGGCCCATAACATAATGCCTTCCGGCCCATAACATATTGTCTTCCGGCCCATAACATATTGCCTTCCGGCCCATACACATACACAACAATTAATACATTAATCTTAACGCATATAGCACATAGATCATATATCACATAACATATTGCCTTCCAGCCCGTATAAACATACATAGTACGCATAGCAAACACCCTACCATTTATAGCACGTATAACACAAATCATATCCGACCTTCCGGTCACACAGTCAAACCCTTCCGGGTACAGTATAGTGAGAAGACTCACCTCGCGGGTAATGAAAGCTAGCGACTCCTGAAATCACTCGCACTCGATCCGCCGAGCTACAGGCTCCCTATAATATCATATATCCCTTATTAATACTTTTATCTTTCAAGACAACTGACCCTAAGAAATTACATGTAGGTCAACTTTGGTTAACGGTCAACTTGACCGGACTCGGCGAGTGCAAAGGCGACTCGGCGAGTCTAGACGTCCTCCCCAACTTTCCCTGATGTTCCCTTTCTACTCGTCGAGTATCCCTCTTGGCTCGACGAGAGCCTCGTGGAAGAATCGCGGGGCCACCCCGACTCCACTCGTCGAGTCTGAAGAACAGCTCGACGAGTCCCAGTCAATCTTCAAGCTACTCGCCGAGTCTGTTCATTGGACTCGGCGAGTCCATGCCATGCAGTCGATCAATCTGCTTCCTGAAATACGTATTGTCCCGAAATACACAAGCATGGGACCTTCTGGACCTCTAAACATCCTAATACAGTGTTATAATCGTTTGGGTAACAAGGTAATAATCCATCTAATCACCAAATGGGTTTCATAAACCCTAAATCCGTGCACACATCAATATAACAGAATGGTCCGAAGTATTACCTGAAGAACGCACTCTCTGTGTCCCCAAACCTCAGAACTCGAAACCCTTGCTGTTCCTTCAACCAAAACTCCTCTCCTTCTTGCCTGACAATTTCTTCAAGGTTCCAATAGCCTCCAATCTTGCTCTAGATGTCCACAGTCGCTAGGGTTCTTCTTAATCGGCTAAAAGACGGACAATGACGGCATATAAGTGCATTAAATACGTTCCAAAACCAAACGGCTAGGGTTTCCGCTGAACAGCGCAGACTCGCCGAGTCCATAATGGACTCGTCGAGTCCAGTCGCGAACCCGCGACCCAGTCTGTGGTCCTACTCGGCGAGTCTGGCTCCAACTCGCCGAGTCCCCTCCTAAAACACCCCAAAAACCATATTATAAAAATACCTGAAATTCCGGGCTGTTACATAAATAAGTAGAACTCTGCCACATGTCAATCTATAAGACCTCCAAAATAGAGTTTTCCCGCTCATTTTATTCATCTATATTTACGTAAATGCCATACAATCCAAATTCAATAATTCCGGAAAAATCTGCAAACAAATATGTTAGTCAATCTTCAGATTCGAAAAACACGCATTAATTTTGAAAGTTTGTTTATTTTGATTGCAAATTAAATCCCTAAAAATCTGCAATATTAATCTTTTTCAAACGTAATCTTCTTAATTCTTATTCTTATTTATTCAAACGTAAATAGCATTCATACGGTTATTTTCTTTTTACCATTCTGCTCCAGACGAATTTTGCTCCATAGTAATATTTGCAAACGTATTCTTCTTCATTCTTCTTGATTCTGCAACGCTTCAAAAATTATAATATCAGGTTAGTATATTAAAATATCAGCATTACTAATATTTCTAACCTCTTAATTGTCTGATTTACCAGTTTCTATCATTTTTCATTTTATTAGTGATGTTCTTCTTCTTCCTTTTGCTAATTCTTCTTAATCATGTTCTTCTTCTACCTTTTCAGTTTAAAAGATGTAAATGTTAATGAAAATGATTACAAAATACGAAATTAGTAATAAAAATGAGAACTTTATTTTCTTTAAAAAAAACTGTTCTTCAAAGCTTTAACTATTACAATATGTTTTTTTTGTTTTGCTGTTTCATTTACTTTGATTTGCTGTTAATTTAAAAGGTTGCTAATTTTCCTTACAATTCTATAATGATTAAATTTATTGCAGAAAATGGAATTCATATACGAACCCAACTGATTGGCAATATGGTCATTAAATTTATTCTATAAAATCAAAACTTATCTGTTTTCATATGCGAACCCAACTGATTGGCTTTTCAAAATCAAATTCGCAACTCCAAATCGTTCGATTATTCGCCCCAATTCCAAAATCAAATAACAGATCCTTCGTATGATTCATTTAATAACCAAGGATTCTTTTACTTAAAAATAACCATATTGCCCCTAACTTGATAAGTATTTCATATATCGCAATTAACAATTAAGACAAATCAATCAATCAATCAATTTGTATAATAAAAATGCGAAATTCTTAGCTTTCTTCCCCAATTCGCATTCTACTGTAAAATTCACATTCTTCATTCACTCTCTTTCTTCGCATGTTCCAGTCATTTTTTTTTTAGTTCATTCGCATTTGAGTTGTTTGTCTCACCAAATACGAAATGAATATTAACCATAATCACCTTCGCATCTTTAACCCCAATCCATACAACCTCATATGCGAAACCCAATTTTGATTTGTATTACCAAATGCGAACATTTTTGCTTTTACACTTGAACTGCATTTGACTCCAATATGCGAACATCTTTAACCCCAATCCATACAACCTCAAAGCTTTAACTATTACAATATGTTTTTTTTTGTTTTGCTGTTTCATTTACTTTGATTTGCTGTTAATTTAAAAGGTTGCTAATTTTACTTACAATTCTATAATGATTAAATTTATTGCAGAAAATGGAAATAGGAAATAAGGTTTACCTAAATCAAATAACAGATCCTTCGTATGATTCATTTAATAACCAAGGCTTCTTTTACTTCAAAATGACCATATTGCCCCTAACTTGATAAGTATTTCATATATCGCAATTAACAATTAAGACAAATCAATCAATCAATCAATCAATTTGTATAATAAAAATGCGAAATTCTTAGCTTTCTTCCCCAATTCGCATTCTACTGTAAAATTCACATTCTTCATTCACCCTTTTTCTTCGCATGTTCCAGTCATTTTTTTTTGTTTAGTTCATTCGCATTTGAGTTGTTTGTCTCACCAAATACGAAATGAATATTAACCATAATCACCTTCGCATCTTTAACCCCAATCCATACAACCTCATATGCGAAACCCAATTTTGATTTGTATTATCAAATGCGAACATTTTTGCTTTTACACTTGAACTGCATTTGACTCCAATATGCGAACATCTTTAACCCCAATCCATACAACCTCAAAGCTTTAACTATTACAATATGTTTTTTTTTGTTTTGCTGTTTCATTTACTTTGATTTTCTGCTAATTTAAAAGGTTGCTAATTTTCCTTACAATTCTATAATGATTAAATTTATTGCAGAAAATGGAAATAGGAAATAAGGTTTACCTAAATAACATTGACCAGATAGATGAAAAATCGCATATCAAGGTTCGGGTGCTTAAAATTTGGAACTTTTTCAGAAATAATAAAGTTTGTTCCATTGAAATGATCATCATGGATGAGGAGGTTTGTTGTATTTGATATATTTTTTATTCATCATTCAATATTAGACATGTTTCATGAACATAATAATTTTTAATTTTTTTTTAAACAGGGTACACAATACCAAGCTCGTGTCTTCAATCAGAATTTCTCCAGATTTCGTCATCTTTTAAAGGAAGATGAAAGTTATATAGTTATAAAACCCAATATGGCTGCTGTTACTAATGGTTTTAGTTATACAGGTCATAAACAGACCTTATGTAACGACCCAATTTTTACGTCCGAAAATTTCATTTTAAAATATTACTTTAGAAAACATTAATAAATAAAAACATTGTTTGATCACACCATAACACATCGCAACCATGTTCTAAAAGGTCAAACCATACATCCCATCAAAATATCAGAGTACCATCCCAGTAAATCTCGTAAATGCGGAAACCGAAGAGTGTGTGTATGACGTGCCGCTACCGCGCCGGCTCCTTCCCCTTCGGTGCAGAGGTACCTGAAAACAAAACTGTAAATGTAAGCACAAAGCTTAGTGAGTTCCCCCAACGTACCACATACCATACAAACACATAACATACGTACTGCCAGGCTATTCTGGGGTGCCTGACTACCCGGTACGGCCATTCTGGGGGTGCCGACCTACCCATACGGCCCTTCTGGGGTGCCGTCTTACCCGTGTCAAGCCATTATGGGGTGCTGACTACCCATGTCAAGCCATTCTGGGGTGCTGACTACCCATCAGTCCTAACAACCGATCCTCGGGGACTGGTCCCCTCCCGCTACCCCCTATCGCATAACATAACAGACCAACATACAAGCATACTATCACATACAGTCAGATAATTCTGGGGTGTCTGACTACCCAGCGGTCCTAACAACTGAACTCTACTACTATTGCATATAACGTATCATGATAGCATATAACATAACAGGTAATAGCAAACCTAGATGATTTCACAAAGACAATCATCTATCATACGTCTCCTACTGGTGGACCGGCATTGTGGCCTTAGACCCACCGCTACTGGAAGGTAACTCACCTGAGACTGCTGAACCCTACTGATAAATCTTTGGCTGCTACTCGACAATCCCCTGATCCGCTGCTCCTCCAGCTCTCCGAGCTATCAATATACATATAACACTTAGTCTGACAGTCAACTAAGTCAACTCTGGTCAAAGTCAACCTTCCAGGTCAACCCTACTCGCCGAGTCTTCCTAAAGACTCGCCGAGTTCATAAACTCGGGGTCTTTCTTATTCGCGACCCGACTCGCCGAGTCAGTCCATGACTCGCCGAGTCCTAGACAATCTTCAACCAACTCGCCGAGTTGCTCATCCAACTCGCCGAGTCCATGCCTAACTTCATCCGACTCGACGAGTTGTTCATCCTACTCGTCGAGTTCCTCCTCATCTTCAAGCTACTCGCCGAGTCCACTCGAAGGACTCGCCGAGTCCAGTCGGTTCTACATACATGCAGAGGACCTTTGAGTCATGCATGGACTCCAAACTGTAGATCCACTCTTTTAAGGTCTATTCCTTACGTAAAGTTGCAAACTTTACGTGTAGAGAAGGAGATCTAGGCAAGATACGCCATTAACTAGGGTGTAAGGCCAAGGGACTTCAAAATCAACACAATGACTGATACTTTATGCTTCTCCAGGCCCTAAAACACTTGAATCTGAAGTAGCAACTCCAGATCCGGCTTCTAATCCAAAATAATAACATTATGGCAAAAGAGCCCCAACAACCACACCTAGATCTAGGTGCAAAAAGGGTCCAGGAACTAGTTTATTACCTCCAAGTGCTCAAAATGAACTCACAATCCCAGATCTATAGCTCCTTCTTGCTCCTCCAAGTTCCTTCTTCCTTTTCCAAGCTTTAAAGCACCTTCCAAGGCTCAACTAGGAGATATGACGGCTAGGGTTTGATATCCAGGGCTAAAGAGGCAGTAAGGAACCCTGGGAAGAAGATTAAGACATTTATATAGGCCCCAAGTCCCGAATTTAGGGTTTTCCACGCACAGACCAGACTCGCCGAGTCCCCCTGGTCGACTCGCCGAGTCGGTCACTTACTCCCCGACCCGGATCCCGCTCGGACTCGCCGAGTCCCCCCTTAGACTCGCCAAGTCGACCCCTAAACTTAGGGTTTTCTTTCCTTTCTTGGTCTTTGAAACTTTGGGTGTTACAACTCTCCCCCACTTAAACTAAACTTCGTCCTCGAAGCCTGCTATGGCCCACTGCCTGCGAGTTGCCTCTAAACCCAACCAACTATTCCAACACCAGCTGCCTACCCTTGCTAGCTTTTGCTCGATCCTTCCGACTAACCTTAATCCCTGCAGATAACACCTTGGGTCAACCCTGACCCTGAACATCCTGGAGACCCAACTTACTCAACTGGCAATCCTTCTGGTACTCACCGAGTACTGAACTGAACCTATAGGGGTTCACCCCTTCCCGTCCTTGCGCAAATCCCTTGCCTTCCCAAGGCAAGGTTCTATAGCCAACTATTTCTCTGTAACTGTGAAGGTCCTATACTTCACCAACTCCATCACCCCCGCCAAATCCAGTACGGGTCAATACCGCCAACAACCACCGACGCCCCTATCTGACATAACTTGGTGCCGAGCACCCCCGGTCCTTACTGACGTCTCCATATTTGGGTTACCGAACCCTACCGGTTACTACACCCCTTCGCAATCTCCTAGTCGCTTCCAGCGACTCCTGAAAATACTTTGAGTATCTATAACTGTTCTATCCATTCTTCCGCTTATACTGAAACGATGCTGCTGGGAATAGCTTGCTTATATCCCATCTGATTATTCAACTCCTACTAACTCGAGTCTTTCATCCCGAAGAAAAGCTACTTGCCTAGCTATCTTTACATGTCACTTATACTCGGCCGAAGGCTCAACTGATCCTGCTGAGAGAGACTTGTCATTTCCACATCAACCAACTATACCGTCGACACAAGTATTCCAACTCAAATACAATACTGACCCAAAACTCTGAAACCTTTCAAACACTGAATTGTCTGCAATACCGAACCTTCCTGAAACATTAAACTGCCTGAAACGCTGATCTAGCTGAATCACTGAGCTGCCTGAGACACTGAGTTGGCCGAACCACTGAGCTGCCTGAAACACTAAACTGGCTGAAACACTGAGCTGCCTGAAACACTAAACTCAAGTCCAACTGTGGAGTCAAAGGACTCCTCCCTTAGTCGCTTCCACGACTTCTGAATGGAATCTTCCTCAAGGACTAGTTTCCACTAGTTATCCTGTCACTGTGGCTCTAACAACCTTCCGATCCAACCGATCGAGTCCATACTTCACATCCTGACATCATCCATTCTATGACTAATAACATGATGGCTCCCAGACTGACGGTAGCCCTTAACATACCCGAACCTCAACGGTCCACTGCTACTCTGATCTCATAACTGATGTGACGATCTATAGCCAAGATTTGCTGACTTAGCCTTAACTGAACCATTTGGGAAATCCGAATCTAATCCGTGGATTCCCATATTCCCACCGCTGCACCCGAACGGGTGGGAATTACTACATTCCCGCGTTCAGCCACGAAATTACTACAAGCTAAAAGTCATTTTGAAGTAACGAAATTGTTCATAAATTCTGACATTTATGAAATAAATGAGTTTAAAAATAAGTTAGTTTCCAATTGTTTTTTATTTTTTTATAATGTATTTTAACTTAAAAAAAACACAAAACCTAATATTCATGAATCTAAATTAAACATTACAGGTTGAAATGTCATGACAATTTCGGTATAACTGAAAAAAGCATAACTACACTTCAAAGCTACTCTTCTTCATATACAGATGACTTTAAGGGCAATTTTCCATTAAAAACAATCTGTGAGATCACCGAACCAATTAAGGTATATTGCATTATTTTATATGTTTTACATTTTATTTTTGCATAATTTATTTTAATAATTTTTACATTTTATATGATACAGGAAATGAAGTTTTTATTAGTTGCTTCCATTGTTAATATAAGGCAGAATCTACCATGGTATTATGAAGCATGCAAAAAATGTGGAAAAAAAATTATCCCTGTTCCCAAAACCAATCATTCGTATACCAACCCTGAGGGAATTTCAGAAACTATGGTTGTCGAGTGTACAAATGCACAATGCAAAAAATCTGAATTTCAGTCAGTTATAAAGTATAGACATATTTATTTCTATTAATTTTGCCAATCTTAAAACAACACTAACAATGACATAATTATTTTTTGTTTTAGGTATATAATTCCAATTAACGTACAAGATCGTACTGGAACCATTGGATTGACTCTTTTTGATAGGGAAGCAAGGAGGTTGTTAAATATAAGTGCCTACGAGTTGAAAAAGATATATGATGCGGTATATTATTCATACCTTTAAAATCAGAAAACATTTACTTAATTTTTTTAATTTATTAAAATATATCTTACAGGCCGGAGACAGTGATGCCCTATTTCCAATGCAACTTAATGTGTTGAAAAACCGCAAGTTTGGTTTTGTTGTAGATATTACAGAATACAATGTCAACAACTATAATAACATCTACACAGTTCTCAGAGTTACAGAAGATATGTCCATTGTTTGTGAATTGGAAAGTAAAATAGAACTTATGGTATGTAATTTTTTATTGTTGAAAATTTACAATTCTTTAATGTTAAAGTACATAACGATTAACATATTTCCATTTTATTTTTTAGAGTAATCAATCTGTCTCCTTAAATCAAGTTGCTTTGGAATCCGATGATGTTGTACAACCTGTTCAAAAGGTTTTTCATTTTATTTTATAAACTTTTAATTATATTAGTTATTTTTTTTAGGAATCAAACATTTTTTTTTAAAATTAGGATGTGATCTCACAAACAGACGAAAGTTTTACACCCTCAACAGTTGATAAGTCAACCGCAACAAGTCCTTGCAAAATATCAGGTGATTTGAAGCGCAACCTCCAAGAAATTTATGATGTTGATTCTGGATATGATTTAAGTTCAACTAAGGCTAAAAGAAAGTCAACCGCAGAGGAAACTCCACTCTTGATTCCAAAAATTGAAAAGTGAGTTTCTATCGGTTATAAGACACATTTAATATATTTTGATCATTTGTTTTGGTTATAAAGATATTTTAATTGCTTGGTATGATTTTTATTTTGGGGTATTTAGGATGTCAAATATTATTGGTTTTGAATATTTTTGGATACTTTTATTGTTTTAAATTGGACAAGTTAGTTGATTTTGGTTATAACTCAAATAAAATATATTGCCCCTAACTTGATAAGTATTTCATATATCGCAATTAACAATTAAGACAAATCAATCAATCAATCAATTTGTATAATAAAAATGCGAAATTCTTAGCTTTCTTCCCCAATTCGCATTCTACTGTAAAATTCACATTCTTCATTCACCCTTTCTTCGCATGTTCCAGTCATTTTTTTTTAGTTCATTCGCATTTGAGTTGTTTGTCTCACCAAATACGAAATGAATATTAACCATAATCACCTTCGCATCTTTAACCCCAATCCATACAACCTCATATGCGAAACCCAATTTTGATTTGTATTACCAAATGCGAACATTTTTGCTTTTACACGTGAACTGCATTTGACTCCAATATTGAACAAATCACATTTCACAGTCCTTCTTGACTTCGCATTTTTCTTCACGAATCGTCCCTCAATCAATAACCCAATTAACCCAATTGCGAATCCAAAATCAAAACTTATCTGTTTTCATATGCGAACCCAACTGATTGGCTTTTCAAAATCAAATTCGCAACTCCAAATCGTTCGATTATTCGCCCCAATTCCAAAATCAAATAACAGATCCTTCGTATGATTCATTTAATAACCAAGGCTTCTTTTACTTCAAAATGACCATATTGCCCCTAACTTGATAAGTATTTCATATATCGCAATTAACAATTAAGACAAATCAATCAATCAATCAATTTGTATAATAAAAATGCGAAATTCTTAGCTTTCTTCCCCAATTCGCATTCTACTGTAAAATTCACATTCTTCATTCACCCTCTTTCTTCGCATGTTCCAGTCATTTTTTTTTAGTTCATTGCATTTGAGTTGTTTGTCTCACCAAATGCGAAATTAATATTAACCATAATCACCTTCGCATCTTTAACCCCAATCCATACAACCTCATATGCGAAACCCAATTTTGATTTGTATTACCAAATGCGAACATTTTTGCTTTTACACGTGAACTGCATTTGACTCCAATATTGAACAAATCACATTTCACAGTCCTTCTTGACTTCGCATTTTTCTTCACGAATCGTCCCTCAATCAATAACCCAATTAACCCAATTGCGAATCCAAAATCAAAACTTATCTGTTTTCATATGCGAACCCAACTGATTGGCTTTTCAAAATCAAATTCGCAACTCCAAATGTTCGATTATTCGCCCCAATTCCAAAATCAAATAACAGATCCTTCGTATGATTCATTTAATAACCAAGGCTTCTTTTACTTCAAAATGACCATATTGCCCCTAACTTGATAAGTATTTCATATATCGCAATTAACAATTAAGACAAATCAATCAATCAATTTGTATAATAAAAATGCGAAATTCTTAGCTTTCTTCCCCAATTCGCATTCTACTGTAAAATTCACATTCTTCATTCACCCTCTTTCTTCGCATGTTCCAGTCATTTTTTTTTAGTTCATTGCATTTGAGTTGTTTGTCTCACCAAATGCGAAATGAATATTAACCATAATCACCTTCGCATCTTTAACCCCAATCCATACAACCTCATATGCGAAACCCAATTTTGATTTGTATTACCAAATGCGAACATTTTTGCTTTTACACGTGAACTGCATTTGACTCCAATATTGAACAAATCACATTTCACAGTCCTTCTTGACTTCGCATTTTTCTTCACGAATCGTCCCTCAATCAATAAACCAATTAACCCAATTGCTAATCCAAAATCAAAACTTATCTGTTTTCATATGCGAACCCAACTGATTGGCTTTTCAAAATCAAATTCGCAACTCCAAATGTTCGATTATTCGCCCCAATTCCAAAATCAAATAACAGATCCTTCGTATGATTCATTTAATAACCAAGGCTTCTTTTACTTCAAAATGACCATATTGCCCCTAACTTGATAAGTATTTCATATATCGCAATTAACAATTAAGACAAATCAATCAATCAATCAATTTGTATAATAAAAATGCGAAATTCTTAGCTTTCTTCCCCAATTCGCATTCTACTGTAAAATTCACATTCTTCATTCACCCTCTTTCTTCGCATGTTCCAGTCATTTTTTTTAGTTCATTCGCATTTGAGTTGTTTGTCTCACCAAATACGAAATGAATATTAACCATAATCACCTTCGCATCTTTAACCCCAATCCATACAACCTCATATGCGAAACCCAATTTTGATTTGTATTACCAAATGCGAACATTTTTGCTTTTACACGTGAACTGCATTTGACTCCAATAATGAATATTAACCATAATCACCTTCGCATCTTTATGTTGATTATTTTAAACATGGAACATTTATGTCTATTATTTAGAATAACTATTATTTTTGTCACGATAAATATGTTATTTTTAATAAATAATCAATAACCAATTGTAAACAAAATTTATATCTTTGATTCTCTAAAATTAATTCATACATTTTTGTAATGGTTGCAGCATATTTACTTATCTTCTGTAAATAACCTATATTCAACCAACTATTTCCTAATATTCTATACTCCTTTTTTAGATGAAATTTGAATATTAAACTAATTTTTAGTTGTAATCTTTTAAATTCCAAAAAATCAGGAAGAAAATTATATCTAATAAAGATCCAACAACAATAAAATCATATAATCGTAATCTTTTTCCAATATTCAAGCATATAACTTTAACTCAAAACGTGAAATCCAAAATTTTGAAACACCTCATTCGTCTTCTTAATGTTCAATTGTTTCTGCGATTTTTTTTTCATTAAGCTTACATCAAACTGCTTCATTAAAGTTGTAATCCTCATTCCAGTTCTACCTGCAAGATTTCCATATCCATATGTCAGGTTAGTATTATCAGTTTAGATCACTTTGTTTTCTCTATGAATTTATGGTTGAAATTTACAACAATAATCAATATGCTGGAATAGATGTTTTTCTAATTGTAAAAAATAATCTTGAATAGATACATAAGATCAATAAGCAATTTATAATCATCACGATTATCGTGTATCACACAATTTTACCTTCATTGATTCCATGGAGATCTAGGGTTTTAACCCCTGATATCATCCGAACCCACGATTGGTTGAAATTGGGGAAACAGTAGATTTAAATCGAATAAACCCTAGGTTGGAAATGAGGATGATGAGTCATGATGCTAACATTTTAATAAACAAATTAATAAAGGTAACTTTTTAAATACATTTACTTTATTATCATTATTTATTTAATTCTAACTAACTTCAATTGTATTATATAAACATATTATGTACATAATTTCACATTTCATTTCCTAACCTATGTCTTCTTATGCAGAAAACAACAGTAACATGTACCACATGCAGGCCAAAGAGAAAAGAAGACAAAGAAAAATATATTTGGAAAATAAAAGATCGATGAAAATAAAAACAATACCAAACGTTCCAAGTATATCATTACAGCATCTCTTCAAAAAACCATTAACTATAACCGTATTAGTATTTTATATTCCATCTTTTACTGTTATATAGTTGAATACATATATTTACAAGTTTTATAAGTTATTTCTATTTGCAGATCAATCAACCAACATTGTTCGTCAAACTCAAAATGTCAATTCATTTACAACACCTGCAAAGCATAACACAACCATACAATACTGTCCTTCCTTTACAGATGTTAGAACTCTATTTTCTAACATTACAAATGTTATAAATCCGTTATCTAACATTACGAATGGTAATTATTTATGGTTTTTAAAATATACTATTATCCATTATGTAAATATTTATTTATTTAGTTAACTATTTTATTTTTTTTTATTCAGATAACATTGGTTTCGATAAATATATCACTTCCAAGTTAGCAAAGAAAAGACAGTACCATGTACTTTCAAATGATATGACATCAAAAAATGCATCTACAGTAACAACTTCTTCATCATCAATCAAGTTAAATCCAGGATGTCATAAATTAAAAACGAAGACAAGACATTTATCCCCTATCCCATTGATTGATTTGACAGAAGATGTAGAAAATATACATCAAGTGAACAATGAAAATCGTATAGTTGGTATCTCAAATGGTAATGAAAAAATAAAATCCATTTTACATTTCAGATACTATGTTCTATATAATTATAAAATTCATTGATATTTTATTCAACGCTTTTATTTTACAGAATATTTGGATCATGGTGATCAAGATGTTGTATGTCAAACATGTCGTGCAAAGTTATGGAGAAATGAATCCATTAGAGGTAAAGAAAATGGGAACACGGATTATTCATTATGTTGTGGTTACGGCAAAGTTCAACTTCCAGACTTAAAGAATGCACCCCCTACTTATGAAAGAATGTTTCGAAATATGGATTCAAAAAGCAAACACTTCATGAAAAACATTCGACGTTACAATTCAATGTTTTCTTTCACGTCGATGGGTGGTAAAATTGACTCTTCAATCAATAGAGGAAACGCTCCTTACATTTTCAGATTGGGTGGTCAAAATTATCATAGTATTGGAAGTCTTTTGCCAGCAAAAGGATCGGAACCAAAATTCTCTCAGTTATACATTTATGACACTGACAACGAAATTACAAATAGACAAAGATGTTTTCGGTATTTTCTCAAACTTCTTATTCATAATCTATTATTATATATATATATATATATATATATATATATATATATATATATATATGTATATATTACTAATATTATGTATAAATTTATTTATTTTAGTGGTGAAAAAGATCAATCAACATCAACTGATAGTGATATTGTTAAAGATATTAAGGTGATGTTGGATTCAAATAATGTCTTGGTTAGATCTTATAGAATGGTAAGAGATACTTTTCAAAAAAATCCAGAA